GAACTGATTAAAATTTCTTTTTTGTTAAACGTAACATTATTTTAAATTTTGCTGGAAATTCTTCAAATTAAAATATGTAATTTTGCGAGCAGTTTGAAGCGAGAAATTCTAGCGTGGTAACAAAAGCAGCTTTCGCGTTCTTTCTTTGAACTTCGATGAAAATTCATTTAACTTGCGGACCTCCTGCGTTACCGCAAACCTCGCGTAATTTCGCGCTGCGAGCTTTTCATGCCGTCTATAATTCTTCTTTTTCACATTCTCGCCACCCCTTTCGTTTCTTTAATTAATCGACGCGTACAGGGGTGGAACAACGATTTACGAGTAAATCGGGAAAGTTTCCTTTCCCCTGAATCGTTAACAGGGTTCTTTTATTTCCCTCAGAAAAAAAAGTTGTTCTCCAGCTAGAATTTCGTATCGATCAGTGCAAAACGACAACAATGTAGTTATTTTTGAATACAGAGATAAACTTTAAAATTTTTTTTTCAACTCTGTACACAGCTTTCCAATAGAATCAGTTTGATAACAAAGCAATTTATTTTTTGCTTTTACTAAAGTACAATTTTACTAAAAAGTGAAGTTGCAAGGTTTCCAATTGTATTAAAAATTGCAAAATCTATTTCATCCTGAGTTGATAAACAGCATTTCTGTATTTGACATGTTGTAATTCAAACATAATTAATATAGAGGAGACTGGCTTGAAACCAGAACGTTAATGGTAAAACGTCATAATTTTAGAGAGAAGTCAAATTTAATAACGTTGCCAGAATATTATTCAATGAAAATCAAATAATCTTATTAGAATCTCCCAGAGACGATTTCCTTAGACGTAATAAGAGACACTTGAATGACACGCAATTGGAATCATAGCGAATGGTACCAATTTTGCGGTAATATAGAGGTAAGAACTTAAATGAATTAATATAAAATAATATGCTCGTTTTAACTGTAGTATATTGTGGAAAATTATTAGCAATGTCATATAAAAATTCTTTGTTACTGAAATACGAGAGGTACCTTTTCCCCTAGAATTTCCCCTTTTTTCTCTAAAGAAACCTACCACACTCGGTACTGTACAAATTCTCCTCACGCATGTTCTTCACAGTTAACAAAGGAAATGCAAGTTACTTAGCCAAACATGGTTATAACCGTGGCAACGAAAAACCGTGCTGATAATGGAATTCGTTACCGATTCATAGGGTATGACGTTTTCCGATTTTCACCGTATACACGTAAACGAAAGCAACGCGTCATGCCACTCGACTCGTTCTGCATTATTCATACAGAGCAACGTCGTGTCGCGTCGCATCTGCAAGTGCAAAAGGGGGATCATCTCATTATGCGTCTGCTGGTGAGCTCGCGGCTTTTACCCGACCCGTTGCGATTCCCTAACCGTTCCATATCGAATGTCTACGTACTTGCCGATGCACCTGCCGCTGTCCGTAAATTACACCACATGGCCAGGTATTTTAGTCAGATTTTATCGAAAGACGAACGATTCTATCCCCTATGCTTTCCTCTTTTCTGATCTGTCGCTTTTATGCATCTGCTTTTACATTTACAGTAAAACCTGGATAAATGCAACGAAAGAATGCTTGGATAAGTGCAACATCGCTATCCCCTCCACTTAGGGGGATCCCCCTAGACGAACCGAGCCGCTCGACGAGAAAACCGTGTGATATGATCCGACTGTAATATCGGTGTGACTAATACTAATTGAACGATAAACTTTTTTTATTTTTAACTTTTTCTTAATGAAACTTTTACTAACGCATTTGTGAGATTTATCTGATTAAAATGACACCAAACATGATATAATTTGAATTATATTTATAAACAATAGTAATAGAATAAACAACATAGAATTGACACCACGACTGAATATAAATGATGTCGGCTGAATACAAAACATGTGTACGGACTCAGAATCGACACCACGCTTGGATAAATGCAACATTAAATGCCCAGAATCGACACCTCGCTTGGATAAATGCAACATTAAATGCCCAGAATCGACACCTCGCTTCGATAAATGCAACATTAAATGCCCAGAATCGCCACCTCGCCTGGATAAATGAAACCTTTGAAACCAGAGCCGACACCGCGACTGGTTTTGATTTCGATCTCTGTTGCTTTTCGCCAACCTTTAACATCAATTTTAGCAAGTAATTATAATTGAAACTATATCGTGTTTGGTGCCATTTTAATCAGAAAAATTTCACCAATGCGTTAGTAAAAGTTTCAATAAAAAAAAGTCAAAAATAAAAAAGTTTTATAGTTGAATTAGTATTAGTCACACCGATACGTTTCGGCTCTTTCCTTTCATCATCGGACCTCTCTCTTTCTGCCACTGTCTGTCCCTTTCTACGTTCACGCTTGGCTGGTCGTCGCGTGTAACCCGAGATTCGACACCTCGCTTGGATAAATGCAACCACTGGGTCCCAATCTTGGTTGCATTTATCCAGGTTTTACTGTATGATACTGGGAGACGTATAGGATGTCTTAAAACAAAAGGATATTATTTGTCAAACTTTAGAATAATAATTTTTTTTTCCTTTTTCGAATACTCCCCTGAATCATAAGTCAGAAACATATCAAGGTTTTCTCTTTTATTTCAATTTTACTTCATAAGTTTCCGAGTTAACTTTAGCAATGTATACATTATCGTATTTTACACTTTGCCCGTAACGTGTACATAGCTTATTGTCATCCAACATTTTCGCTCTTGAAAATCACTCGGTCCGGCCAAAGTTTACCCCGTCGCTGTTGAAACTCTGTATGTAGGATCCGTTGAAAACTTGTATCGCTGAAACAGATCGCTGAAATCGCAGACAAGTCGCGACATTCAGCGTGGTTTGCGTGCCAGTTCTACAGATATTAAACTTTACCGTGCAACTTTCTTCTTCTCTTATATATCGCGGCAGATTGCAACTTCTCGAAGCTGTAAGATTCGTATAGGAAAATTTGTCCATTAATCATACCGCGTGCTTCGTGGATCGCGAACTATGGCTTCTGAATTTCATTTAAATAACGATGCTTTCGTGCACATTTTTCTTGATAAAATTTCATTAATGAAAATTAAACATTAAAATATGACGAGTTAAATTGTCATAGAATTTTGAAGACGACCTACATTTCAAACTCGATACATTTTTAACGTCGTAAAAATGACTTTTCATAATATATTTGTCACAGCGCGGACAGAATGCGCTTTCGACGTGTTAGCTTCCCAGTTAAAAGGCTGGAAGCCAGATCTATACGATCCTTTTTATACTATTTAAATTTGGACAGGTACGATCCATTAATTATTAGCAAGGTACGATCCTATGTGTTGGCAGGATATTAGTCTAGAAAGGAACGGTACATATTGATCGAAGGTTCGTTCATTGAACCCCATCTTCACTCGGCTTTTGCTACTTTGGTACCTCTGAGCCATTTACATTTCCCAGCTGTCGCACAGTTTCGTTCTTCTTCAAGAAGAAGAACGAATACCGACCTCGTTAAAACTTGTACACCGTAGGATTCAAATTAGCAGTGAGGAACCAGGAAGACATCCCAAATGTTTTGCAAAGATCGATCCAAAGAATGAATAATTCAGGAACAAAGAGAGATCTTGATCAAACTTTCGGTCTGCAAATGGCCCTATTGAAAGTTCCTAATTATCTTATATAAGATTTGTAGTAATTTCAAGCTTTTTATCAAATTAATAAATATTAAATAACCATTTGCCTAGCAACTAAAGAACTGCTTGTTGAAACACTCATAATTGGGGGGAATTTATTTCTAATAATTATTTATCACTAACTGAAATTTTCTCTCACCTGTTATCTATCAGCCAGTACAACAATTTATTTTTAAATTAATGTTCAAGTTTCAGAAGCTGGAAAAATTTAATAACCATCCAACGTTTTTATGCAATTTAATAGTGTTCCACTCCGGCGAGGTTGATTAAAATTAAAAAGGTAATTCCATACTGTAGGATTGTAATTTTCCAGGGAACGTTGTAAATAATAATGAGCTGCTTAACCAGGTTTATTTCGGCACCGCGAAATCAATATCCCTGGTATGTATACCAGCAATAAGTACGGATTTCATATTCCCCGGCCAAGCTTTTATTCGACACCCAGTGCAATTTTAAATTAAATATCGGAAAATTCAAATTTTTTCCACCGGAAAAAAATGTCGCTTATCGCGGACAATATTTTTACTACCTGTAACCGGATAAGAAGATTAAAATATTGACTGACGGTTGAAGTGATTTATTCATTATAAGCGAAGTCAATTAACATTGACAAATTTATTTGAGGATTATCGCTATAAAAATAAATATGCCATGACAGTTACGTTGAATATATTAATACTATCTTCAATTGAACTGATTAATTTAGCAAGTTTGAAATTATTGAATTACGTTCAGATTACAGAGAATTTTTTTTTATACAAAATAGAGTTATCGTTAATTAAAAATTAAGAATTAATTTTCTTCAGTTTATCTCTGAAATTCAGATTTCTAAAACGATAGAAGAAATGTCCATAAGCTAGTTCGCTAGAGCGTTTTAGTTAAATCCTGTAGCAGTCTTGCAGCTCGTCCAATTAGTTACCAGCCGACATTGGACCCGGAAATTACAATGCACTGTCAACGACAGGCACAAAATAGGAGCGAATAGCTCTATACACGAGTTTTGCAAGCGAGCTGAAAGCTAATAACATGTGAAATATCTAGCAATGAAATGACATCCCTGAATATGGGTTATTACTGTGAACTAACGCGTCCCGTTCTCGACGTATCGCGTAAATAACTTCCAATTTCTGCACGTTTTTCAATTTGCCCATGTTGCAATTATGAAGGTACAGCAAATAAACATATTATCAATTAGAAATTTTTGAATAATTGTATTGCGAAGTACATGGGTCAACTCTTGTTCAAATAATTTATTATGTAATGTAACTAAAAGTTAATGTAATGACAAATTGAATAATTGTTTCCCCGTTTTCTGTTACAGAACCTGAAGAATCAGATCATGACGACGAATTTGTGGGTCGAACAGGTGAGCGACATTAATTTATCCCGTTAGTAGGAACGATGTAAGTAGATTAGACTGGCTTAATCTCTCGCGGATAAAATTACTTGTCGCAAGAAAATTTTCCCGCGTTGGAGATTAATTTTAATTATTCTGCCGCCACTCATTTTCGCCAGTTGCATTACGAAAAGAATAATTCTCGAGTTAATGTTTTCTTGTTGTCGCCAACGATCGGTTAAAACGAGAATCAAAATTTGAGCGATATTTACGAGGACGAAATAATATTTAATATCATTATTAGAGGAGAATTAGAGAGGAAATTTCGGGTCAGCTCGAGTCAATATGGTAAAATGATAAAGCAATTTAATAAATTTAATAAGGAAGAATCTAAAACCGTATCTATAAAATTGAAAATGTTTATTCCTGACCTCCTATCGAATAGCTGACCAATTGGTAACATTGCATATGAAATGACTATGACTCCATACGTATACGAAAATTTTATGCATTGTTGGAGACATTGGGTACCAGCCATACAATTCCATATAAAGTTTTCCTGTTTCTTACATATAAATGGAAAACTTTTCCGCGTCAATATTGTGGCCACTCGACATTGCTTGCAATATTATTTTCAACTTTTGAATAAATACAGTGTCGAGAAAGAAACATAACTCAAATTAGAAATTTTTGGAAAAATTTCTTATCGTTTATTTTCATTTTATAAAAATGAAACGTGAAATAAAAGAAGCCTATGTTTCAGGGCGGATTAATTAATCGTTATACAATTATTATACTCGGAAATAATTTCTAATAATTTCTAACAGGCTGGTAATCATATCAAGTAATTTACAACGCAGTAATTACTTTGCTTGAGTAACACGTAGCCGTAAAAATGCTCGTCGTTGCATTCTGGCTTTTTACTCGAAAGAATTGAGAGACCAGTAAATGTAATTGAAGAATAATTAAGCGAGACCAATTAACATCCTCATCCTCGTTCCGCGTGCAACTCGAGGAATGTCTTCAAAGATAAATCCCTTTAAATTCGTTAGACGTACACATGCAATTTATGCTCATGAACCTAGGAACATTCTCCTACTCTAAAGAGCAAATTAACTTTCCTTCTGAAGAATTTATGCTTTCGTTAATAAACGCTGGCTCGAGTAATGGCCGAGGTAAACACTCCCCCCATGTCGTGGGATTATTTTCATGAATTTATTAGTTTCAACCTCCTGACACTTTCACGAAAATGTCTTAGAAATTTTAACAGATAAATTACTGTATATACATTGACAAAATTTTTGTTTTTAAATTTAATTTTGTACTTAATTCTTTTTAAATATTTTTCATATATTTTAAAAATATATTTCCAAAAATTTGGTCAACGTACAAAGCAGCAGGACTGGTGAACTCGTACATACATCAGCACCTTTCTGCGGGTAGCATGGAATTGGTATAAATTTTAAAGGAAGCGAATCGAAAGGAAGCCTTAAAGGCATTTCAAAGGCAGGAGAAATGACACGATCGCAACGAAGGAACGGTGGTGGCGAACGTTTGTTTGCTAGAGCGGAAGGGTGTGAGGAAGAACCGTGGGTGGAGAAGGTTTCAGAGCGTTACACCGAGTCACATTCGTCTCGGTGTGCACTTATGCGTGTACGTGCGCTTAGGAGGTATTCCTACCGCGTCTCCCAGCGACACGCCATCCTTCAACGTCGAAACCACCCTCTTTAGCTTCCGACCAACCTCGTCCCAAGCGTTCGCGGCAACCTACCAGCTTGCTATGTTAGCTACAACCAGTTTGTCTTCAGCTACCACTCGCTACAACGAGTACACACGTCTAATACAGCCTAATGATGGAACTCCACCCTTGCGCCTTCTTTTTCAATTCTCTCTTATTCCTGTTTCAAAAAATAAAAAAAAAAAAGTAATGGTATAATTAGCCGTTAATGAAAATGAAGAAAAATAATTTTAAAAATCACATTCCATGCTCAGAACACTTTAGAAGAAATCTATGGAATATTAAGAAAAGGAAAGAAAAAAGAATTCATGTCTCTGATGAGGAGTGTAATTGGCACTTGCAGCCAGCCTAGATTGGAACAATGTGTCATTAATCCAGGTCATTGGTGAAAATCATATGATTCAGATCCCTGAGACCATGTCGGAATTCTCCGATGTGTTTCCTGAACTAGCCGGACGTATCTGTGGTCGACAGGTGGTGGAATCGATAAGCCTGAAGAGGCTTCTGCTGTGGAGATTCAGGATCGCGTATCGATGACGGCGCCCCTTTTAACGGCCAGTCAATACATCGGAAATAAATTGCTAACAATAGTTGTTCACCGGTGCCCTTTAAATCTATGGACACGTCCTGACTATCTTTTTACTTTATACCTCCGTTTCCTTTGCCATTGGTATCAGTTCCTTCCCTCTTTGTACACGGCCATCATCCTGAATTTCTCGCTTCGATTTCGTGCCATTCCGTGCACCTTGCCCCTTTTCTCACACCCCCGGTTCTTTATTCGATTTTCTTGGTCGATGTCCAGGAACAATCTGGCATTGATATAATAGATCATTTCAAGACCTATGCTTTGGATGATTCATTCTGCATACTGTTATGTTTTTCTATAGTTTCAACGTATTAATATTCGCAATTAGATCGTTAGACACACCGCACACCAATGTACTTCCATTACAGGGCCATTTCTAAACCATAACACGGTCCATTGGTTCCAATTCACCGCCACCGTTACAAGTATCCTGTTAACGCTCCTCGCGATACGGTTTTACAGTTATCGATTTGCGAGCTAATATCAGGAATTATATCGAGCCTGTTCTTGATGTTATTAGAAGGATATCGAACGAGTAATTTTAGTGGAATATTAAACGTTTCGTAATAATTGCTTAGAACACAATGAATTAGAAATAGAGCTTTGCTTATTGAAACATCATCCTCCCAATATATTGATCGTTGTTTCGAATAATGTTATGGTTATCAACATTTCATACGAAGATACTCGAACTTATTTTGTCGGAATGGAAAGTTTGGATTTATGTATTTGTCGAGTTCCTGCACGAAGAAACGGTGCGCGACGTTGTTTTCGCGAGCCAAGTCGATAAAGTCTGTTTCACAATTGAAGCGACCGCTTCTTTGATACATTTCATTCTTTGTTCGATGGAAATATACGAAGATTGAAAAGTTCTCTGACAACCGTAACTGTGATTAAATGTTCCATTTTTCACCGTATCTTCGGTGTATTCGTTTCCCCTCTTAATGAAGATTTTAATTAAATTTTTATCAATTACAATGGATATAATTACGAAGCGATCGTAATTGGAATTGTTCGGGATTCGAGAACGTAAATTTATCCGACAATGAGTGTAAAAAATAATGATGACATCGGTGAGGTGTCGTCCTAAGCGTTCCACAGTAAATTTCATTAACCTACTTTCATAACGATGAAGATTTTAACGCTGAAATTCGTTCTTGACTTCACGCTGCCACGAACAGTTTTATTTTAACTGCGACAGGCTCCGTTTTTGCAACAAACATTTGTATATATTTCCACCTGCAGTTTCCATTTTCGCCTGCCATATAATACAACGAAGAGCGCAATAAAATTCTGCGAGCTTAAAATTTCTAGGAACGAAGCGTTTTTAATATTTATATATTAAAAGTTGAATTTCGAAATAAATATAAAGCTTGTAAAAAATATTTTAATAATAATCGACAAGAATTTCATTTTTAATACGCTATTTTGTAATCCACAAAAATTCAAAGATTGATATTTTAATATAATTTTTTTCTTTTACTAACAAGAATATTTTTTGCATATTTTCATTCAAGCTGATTGCTGAAGGTTTTAAAGGATCTGGGATTCTGAAATTTTTTGGGTTTGGAATATTAAAATTTTTTAATTTTCTAACTTTGGAATTCTGATATTTTGAAATAATTAATAATGGAAGTAATTACAGTAATTACTACTAATCGCATGCTCTGAAAATTAATCTAGGATATAATACTAGTTTATCTAAGTGTCGCCGTATCGATATTGAAAAATACGGATCAATAATATTGTTATATTTTTTGTGTTGGCTGTTTCAAGTCATGGTACGACTACAAGCTGCGATGGGAGCCGAAGGAATACGGTGGTGTTCACATGCTACACGTGCCGTCCGACCACATATGGCGGCCCGACATAGTCCTCTACAACAAGTGAGTCTGTCTGCTTCTTTGTTCTGTATTCTAATTACATCTTCTATAGTTTCTCATTACATACTCTATATACATATATAATAGTAGTGGTACAGCATGCTACTGGATATATATATACAAATCGTCTGAATGCTCGTTTCTTCAATAAATCGTTCAATTAAATTAATTTGAAAAAATTGATAGGATCCGAAAATATTTTATATTAATTAAATTTTGCGATATCTACAAAGGACAGCGAAAATTCAATTTTGTCAGCAAATGAAAATATATTTTGGTAATTTTAATTGTAATAATTTATGAGCTATTAAAAACTAATTAATTTCATCCATCAACTTCAAGTAGCGAAAGTGTTAATATATGAAAAACGTGAGTAAATAAAAGGAGTGTAACTTGATTATTTGTCAAACAGTTTTGTACCTAAATATTTCCACGTCCACACGTTTTGTCGCATGTTATATCGCGAGAAACAAAGGAAGGAAGAAACGAGCGTCCACTCGACTTAATAAGAGAGGTACCATCGTCGTGCATATTGCATTTCAAAGTAGAACAGTCTATTTGATGTCAGAGTGCATCTCATATCGCGACGTCATCCCGAAAGTTACGGAAAAATGTGAGCTGTTTACTTGAAATTGAACCACCAGCTTGCCAGCGCGAACGTTGAATGAAACTTATCACCCATTCTAATCTATTTCTAGCGACATCATTTTGTTTATCTGTTTACCTATACTACTGTTCACGTTCGTTTCATTTCGAGAGGGAACAGAAACGAATCTCATCGATGGACGTATTATTTGTGCTGTAATTAAAAGCGTATTTTTGATACAATTTTAAAATACTTCAAGGGTTGCTGTTAATGATTCTTAATAAATAACAGCAAAATGGAATTATTATTTTTTGTCTAAATTTAGGGGGTTGTTATTAATTCTTTCTACCTAATTTAATATAGGCCATATTGAACAATAAAAAATTTATATTCTCCATTTTTCTCTGTACTTCAAGTTCAATAAGATCATTATTTTCCCTCTACCAGAATATTTGCCCCCTTTATCACGCATTTACCACCGCCATCAGCACTTGTAATACCTCTATCGCAGATTCGTCCAACAAACAAATTCCAAAAAGGAAAAAACCATGATAATTTAAACGAAGGCAGCTGTGGTTCAAAGTTTCACAGCCATCCTTCATTTCCGCGTACACATATTTGCGTAACTTATTAAAACGAGCCGGAGCCAACGAGCCTGTTCACCAGTCTTTTCCCTCGGTTTTTGGCTCGTGCTCGACACTCACGGCGTGCTCTCTATGTAGCCACCGGATAGATTATTATTCATATCGCATGAAACATGGGCGCTGCGGCGAATGTTCGTGTGAATGGTTCTTTACGAACGGGCCTAGGTCACGAGATATAATACGTTTTACTTTGTTAACTGTCGCGAACAACCACCATACGGTACCTTTACGATCAGCTCCTTCAGCAATTCGAACGAGCACCGACCACGCGTCACGAGCTTCGGCTGTAAACGTGAAACATCCATACAAACACGAGCTGAAAGAAATCGTAACGATACGAGGACGTTTTCTCGTTCCAAATATGCTCCCTTTCGATAAGGGGAGCATGTAAAACTGAGATTATCGTATTACCGCAAGTTTCAGAACAGCGGGCTCTTATTTCGATCGCACAATGGGGAAAGTATAATACTTTCACTCTGATCTTTATGTTTATTGTATGGAATTTTAGGAGAAATTTGTATTCGGTATTGATTTATGTTTAAAGAAAGGATCTTTAGGGGTTTATAATGCTTAGTATTCTAAGAGAAGGTTTTCAACCCTTCAACCCTAAATTTCAACCCTTTTATGTCAACGTCGCTGTTCGACTATCGGAGTTTCTCAGTTTCCCTGCGTGAAGATTCCAAGATCAATTCAGACTTAGGCCGTCGCTTCTATTGTTTATTGTTTATAACAATCATCGAATAGATACTGAACACTTATACTAAGTCTTTTGATATCGATTATAATTTTTTATCGTATTAAAACCTCTCTTCAATTCTTTGAATTAACATATCTTCCAAGCTGATTTCTTTATTTACAGAAAGCATTCATTTTGGAATCTAGTATTGAAGTAAGTATTTTTCTTCATTCTTATCGATGAACACTATAAACCTCTAAAATCTTAGAATAAATCTTTTTGTACATACGCCTGATACAGTGAAAGGGTTATTATTCTTAAATTCTTTAATTTGTAAAACATTGCTAAAATTGAATTATTTGATCTTACAAGGGGAACTACCCAAGTGTTACACTCACTTATTAATGAAACTTTGCCAGCTTGTAGAGCTCGTCGAGCTGAACACGCCTATACCCTGTTTTGTTAGTTAATTAAAGTTAGTTACTACTTACATTGAGAAGTATGACAGACTCACACATACAATTCGCAATCTAGAGATCCACGGTTCAAATCCTTGGTTCTCAACATTTTTTTTCTTTTCTAATGATAATTTGTCTCTTTTTGAATAATTATTACATAAAAATTATCATAAATAAAAAAAAAAAAATGTTTGGGAAGCAAGGATTTGAACCGAGGACCTCCAGTTTGCAAGTCACGGATCAGCTCCGTCGTTAAACATATGACACGTAATCTTAAGGTCCTCGGTTCAAATCCTGGGTTCCCGTTTTTTTTTTTTTTTTTTTTTTTTTTTTTTTTTTTTTATAATCATAATTTTTATGGAATAGTTATTCAAAAGGAGACAAATTATCATTAATAAGTGAGTGTAACACTTTGGTAGTTCTCCTTGTTAGATTATTCTTGGAAAATAATTTTTCTTTTTATTTCGTAGCCTTCATTTTAACTCTAATACACTTTCTAGTTTGTTGATCTATATTTTATAGATTGTAGTTACAAAATTAAAATTTTGTGTATACAGTGGCTCACATCTTTATTCTAAAAGTAAATGTTGAATTTATTATATTTCAAATATTCTTTAATTCTTATTATACAAATAAATATGTGAGTCGCTACATATATTTAATATTAATATCATTTATCGTATTCTCTCTCTCATTTGTAGTTATATTGCAAAAGCTTTAATATTGATAAATATTATGAACTCGTGTCTATGAAAGTGAAGTGAAGCGTGTTATTAAGCGACTGACATGACGGGGAGAATAACAATTATTATTAATTGAGTCAGCAATTTACCAAATCGATTAATTTCAAAAAAATAAAAAGAGATATGGAAGATGTTATGGCATGATTCAAGTATCTATAGAAAGGGTAGAATGGCGAGTGGCGAATCGAAAAAGATATTTCATGCGAGGCGCGGCGACGCGACGCGACGCGACGCGAGGCGTCGGGACCGGAAGGAAAGGATAAATTCGCGGATGCTCTGTGAATCCTCGCATAGTTAGCTCGGTCGAGGATATACCGATGGGGCAGGACAGCGTTATTACGGTCGAGAGGTAGCGAACGAGGATGGAGGAGCACTCTTGCTGCCGACTATCCGGAGAATCCGTTGCCTCGGATTGACGGTACGTGCTGGTGCCAGGCGCACGTACGAAACGCGAGATAACACGGCTGCATACGGATATGCACACAGGTTCACTTGACCGCTCAAAGGTCATTCTGGAGCGCTTATATATCGATTAAGGACCAACTGACCTGAATATTCGACTGTTCTAACCACGTATACCAGAGAAACGCGTGCAGCCGTTATATGGTGAATAATACGCTGGGGGTAAAGTAACAACACCATCAAAAATGAATGGCCCTCCTCTCTCTCAACGAAGAAATGAATTTCCTCTCTCAATACAGCGAGGATAAGATAGAAATCAATTTTTTTTAATCATCTTCGGTACATGAACGTTCGAGTAAAAATTTCAGCGACTTTTTCTTATTAAGGCGTTTGGTTTTCGCTCCGATAATAGCTGTCCTACTTTTTCTCCTAGATGCACCAGCTTTCTTTACGATCGTTCTCCCTCGTAACCGAGTTTTTACTTCTTTGTCCTAGATGTACAAATTTCTGCAAACTTGCCAGTTCGAGGGGTCGACTTTCCTTTCGACACGTTCACTTACCCCGTTTATTAATTTCTTGGTATTTAGGAGGGAACGTCGATTGCTATGGGAAAAATTCAATCCTACAGTCAGCACACAGAAACGAGGGAAAATTTTCACTTGGTATCATTTGTCACCGACATTTCGAATAATTTATGATAAAGATGTTTAATTAATATTTAATTTTATTTCGTGGTTAATTATTATTTTTGGATTTAAAAGTATTCAATTAATATAATTGTGATAGGATGTTAAGGGGAAATCAATTTAGGTAGAAATTGAAGGTATCGTTTAACAAAGTAGCAATTTGTCACGAGAATAATGGCACACTACCGATATAGCACCCTTCGGCTTACGTAGCCACCCTAAATAACCATCTGTAATTACAGTTTCCAGATTAATGGTGGTAATGTTAGGGCAGTCAAACGTCATCCTTTGACTAGCCTCTGACACATCAATGAGAGGCTAATAGCAATTTACATTATTTACGTCATATGAGTCGATTAAACACTGAGTAGGAAATTGATTACATTCTAATTGATACTAGACCATTTAAGTATCTACTGCTAATGCACCCTACATATTAATTTTAATAATTCATTCCGATACTATTTCAGATGATATTAGAAAGATAATTTTTAAATGATCAGTGTACAATTTAGAAAATGAAAATAATATGAAATACAAAATTACAGCTTACAATTAGCTGTGGTTGAATGTACGACAAATCCAATGGTGCCAAGTTCGAATCCCCAGTTCTTCAAAATTTTTTTTTTTTTTATTTTTTAAAAATATTTTCTTCATTTTTATGTTTACTTAAAAAATATCTCTATATATTTAAAGTTGTTCCAAAAATGTTTGGAAATTATAATAAATTTCAAAATTAATAATCCACATACATTCTTCGCGAAACGAAACGTGCTTCGATCTCTTGAATTCCAACTCGCAGACCTAGATTCCATCTTCGCGATCAATCCTGCAAATTTCAAACGCATTTAATCATAAATATTCATATACAAACCCGTACTCGAGCGACGAGTAGATGAGCAGTTGCGAGAAAAAAAGAAGAGGATCCGTCGATATCGCGTCATTTTAATTAAGCCACGTGTCGACAGACGGCGGTTCTTCATTATCGTCATCGTCCTGTTCCGTTGTTTTCTCGAGGAAGACGAACACCCATTTCGCGTAATAGTGTTCATTACACACCCCCTGAAAGATTCTTGCATGCATTAGCGAGATGAAAATCACTCACGAGCCTCCGTTCGTTCCATGCTCCACTTTCGCTGTTGTCCTTTTCAGTTCTCGCTGGGCCATTCGAGGGCCCTTCTCGCTCGATTAAACGTCTTCCATCTTTAAGACGAACCAGTTTGTTTAATCGTTAACCCTCGAATAGGAAGAAGAATTTAATTAACATTTCTGGATCGTTTAATCGTCACGTGCGTTGATTCTCTCATTTATTCAATATAATACCTATAATTCTTCGTAGTTAATGCATTTGCTCTGTATATTCATCGATTACCTTGGGAACGTGTCTGAAACGTAATGAAAGGGTTCAGTGAATAATTTTTCATTTTCCAAAGCAAAATGAAACTGATAGGAGGTTTCAATTAACATTGTCAATTTAATTTTAAAAAATAATTCAGAACTGGTATCGTAACTTCTTCGAAGAGGGGAGTCCAGGATTTTAAACCCCCTTACACCCCCTCCTTCATTCGGCACTGATAATAAATAAATATTCATGTTACTAATCTTAGAGCTGTTAGTAACTTTGCGTCTGTCAGAGATGTCAAATGGTGGGTCTCGGGGGTGAAAGTGTATCGGTGAAAGGCACACCTCAAAGATGACGAAATCTTGAATTTTTCCTACGCCGCGCTGGTTGTTTTTTTTTTCTATAACATATGCGTGTTTTTTGCATGCTTCGTTTATCCGTTTCCGGTGGAAAGAAAAATGGACAATGTGGATGGTGGCGAATCGTTGGATAACCTAGAATACGACACAAACCTCGTTTCACGAGCGGAGAACCTTCGTAGAGTCCTGGGAGAATTGCGAAACGCTCTACGAATCGAAAGACTAAATCTTCATCAGGAAATAGAAATGACGATATTGCAAAAGTTTATCGAACGTGGTAACTACCGAAGTTTGTCAGGTTATTCGTTACCTTCTCTTTCGAAACACGAGAGCCCTTCATATATCGTATCCCCTGATAAAATAGATACAAAATTTCATACTGTAGTATTAAATTTCATTGAAATATTTTAGATGAAATTTGAAAAATTTACCAAATATATTTTTATCCCAAAAATGTTGCTCAGTCCATGTCATCTTATGATGTCATCCGGTCATAACTGCACGCCTTACATTAGACATTATTATACTTCTGAATTTTATTAAAATATTTGTATATTTCTACCTCTATTCAAGTCATAAAAATTACATAATGCCATCAATTAAGTAATTAAATTTGGCACAGATGGCACAAGAAGAAATTTTTTAATGGCCAACGTTGCACGGAACCCAATGAAGTTTTCCAAATTTCATGTAACTATCCCCCCAATGCGAGTAAGTTGGACGATGGCTGATTAGTTAAACCCTTAGACCGTAATCGAAACGTTGATGATCAGGATCCGACGAGGGTGAACAATCTCGCCTATCTTGGGAGTTCGATGTATCAGAAAATCATCGACGAGTTACAAGATGAACTGAACTTGTTGGAGCAGCGCCTTTCAGCAGCAACGTCCTGTTCCTACAAGAGGAAAATTTACGACCTCGAGGCAATCTGCTCAGCTGACCTCAACAGACTGAAGTCCAGGTTCGTGAGGTCCCTCCAGCCCTTCGGGAATACGATTCACTGGATCGGGCAGCTTTCTCCGAGGAGAATCAAGCCGACGAGTTGCCGATGTACTACAAAGAAGCCTCCGATGGAAGGAGCTAGCCTGAGGAACACCAGCTACGTTCGATCGCTCGCTATCCTGCGATCCAAGTATGGCGAAACACTGACTATTACTCGTAAAGAAATCGTTTCACCATTTCGTTTTGGTAAATCTAGGAAAATAATTTATTTCTCGGACTTGAAACACTTTTTAATTTTATAAGGGTGGAATTTAGGTATCTTGTTTGTGTTATATTTAATGATATCAGGAGAGGGTGCTTTTTTCTATTGGAACAAAGCAAGTCGGTTTCATAAATTTTTCATAAGGTCCTGTTGTATATCGAATTCTTGAGAATTTCAAAATAAATATAGCCAAACGTCGCGTTAGGATGAAATTCAAACGAAACGTATCGAGAATCTGGCTAGATTTTCTCGATGAATACAGAAAAGAGCTACGATACCAAATACCTTTCGGGAGAGGTTATACACCGAGAACGAACGGAATCAATAAAATCTTATCAATTTCCTATTGATTCTTTTCGTACGTGCTTCAGGGGAAAGAAAATATTATCCGGACTTTTTAGTTTCAAACAGAGAGAAACAATATTTCTGCTTTAAGAAATCTCCTTTGTTGTTAGGAAAATATAGGGCGACTTTTATCACTTTTCTCTTACTTCTTTTCGCTATAATTATAATTGCAACGATATGTTAGAATATATTTTTATGAATTAATTTTATGTATGTAGGTCGGCTGACACCAGTAGCGATCATCAGTCGTGGAAGAATCATATTTATCTGCAAAGATACAGCGACAGTGAAATGTACAGGAATGTTTATAAACCTGCGGTGTCTCTTGAAAATTCGCAAATCCTATACTCAAGCGATTCTGAAAGTAACTGGAAGATGAGCAAGAGCATAACAACGATTTTTCCCAAAGTTTCTCGTGTTATGTCCTGAAATGTTTTAACAAAGATCGTGAACCTTAATAAATATCGTTTTATATAACTGAGAAATATGAATAATAAATAAATCTCAGTTCTAATTATAAGCAAGTAGTTGGAAACGAAGAAGCAATATTTTCTCATGATTCCCTTTTTAAAATATTAATCGTCGTAGAAAATCCGATTTTGCAATATTATTTTCATCTTACTGTTCATCAAACACCCTGTATACCGTAAATAATCTGAAAAGTTCTTACGAACTTTCAGGATAATCTAATATCCCGAACGTTTCATTCTCGTTCCATCACGGAAATATAATTTTCTGTAAGTCCCCAGATACATTTACCTTCCTTCCCGTAGTCACAGGAAAGGAGAATTCTCTAAACAGATTGCATTCACTCGCAAAAGCGATCCCTCCATTCTCTTAGCTCGAAGAAAACGGAAGACGAATTCGTCGACAGAGTTCATAAGGAAGATGCGTCTCGCGATGATCTCTCGGTTCGCTTATTTTTGCGGCTTTTCGAATATAGAGCAGGTGAATGCCAGTCTACGAGGAATATCTTGAATATGAGATCGATGTGTGCGCGTTCCAATTCAGTGGTCGCGATTCTCAGCACGCCGAATGTCTTCGATAAGACACTGGCTGGGGCTTGAAATATCGGTAAAAGGATTTCCGGAAATTTTCACTCACTTTTCTTACTGCTCTTTTAAAATAATTTAACTCGATATAGATTTCTCTCGGACACTCGGTATAATTGCATCGCTTTATACCGTAAAAATGGAGATTCGGTTCCGAGGCAGGTAGAAATAGAAGGTATTCTCTTCCGCCGAGAATATTTCATAGAGAGTCGAAAATGGGCTTCGTTCCCGTAATCCTCGCGCCCGTGGGTGGCAGTCTCCGGTGTTCCGCCATATCCGGCCTGGCTCTTCTGAAATTGAAAACGAAACGGCGTGTCGTCGCGCGTGCTGAGTGAAAACGGAAGGAAAAAGGACGAGGAAAAGTGGAATCTCGAATTCCATTGGAAGTTCACTCGGCCTAGCTGGTCGGTCATTCGGAAAATCTTCGTCTCCGAGTACCGACTAGCGTTCACCGGCTCTCTTGAATCCAGACAGAAATAGTTTTCGATCTTCACTGAGTATTATTCCCTACTCTAGACGAATACACTTACCTGGAAAGTTACTGCCCTTTGGGAATTGAATTCCAGTATTTTTCCCAGGCTACCCTTGGAAACTTTCGTTACCAACCGACCGTATGCACAGAGCCGACGAACGTTACGATTTGCATATCTGTCGCGAATTGTTGTTTTTCCTTCGTATTTACGCTGCGTTGTTTCCTGTTGTCGGGATAAAAATTGCGTGCGAGGAAAATGTGGAACGAAACAGAGAGCATTGTTGATGTAAAAAATAGGCTTAGACGTAAATCGCTTAAAAAAAGAAAAAATACTGATCGAATTGAGTAACCTCCTGCTTTTTCGAAGTCGATTAAAAAGAATAAACTGAAAATGTGGAATACAGTTTTTCATATCAGTTTATAAATCTCTGATATTCGCAACTACGCTATATTTATGTGGGTACTATACATTCAAATATCAAGAAACCGCATCGATTGATGCGGTGACATTCGTATAACAAAAGAACGACGACTTACTATCGATTCGATGAATCAATAGATGGTAATTTTTATTTAGAATATTTCGAATTTTTTCCTGTGTAGTTTGTTTCAATGTATAAATATTTGTGTTGACACTCCATCAAACCTTTGTTTGAACAGTGCTAGTCAAGTTTTTAGATTGAATTTCATGTATTTTTACGCCTGGCCAATTATACGAGCTGGCTATATAGTGACCGCAGGCAGTTGTTGAAATGGAAAAATTGATCTATCAAAATCGGACAACTGGTTTCTGAAAAAATCACAGACGTACAAAGAGAACTTCGTTATGCATACCATGTATGATGAACTGATGATACTTAAATCGTATGCAAAACTAATTTAACCCCAGGCAAAAAGCGAATGCATCAGCCAGTATTAAATAATTCAGAGGTGAATAAAATTTTGGGTTTTTCTAATTTACTCCACTCTTATAAAAGTGGTATTCGATTTTGATTGGTCTTAAATTAAATATTAATTGTATAAAATTTCAAATTCATTAATTTGCAAGGAATATTTGAAAATAAATCGAAAAATTAAATTCTAATGTTTTATTGCAAAATTATATAGCGATTTGCCCTTCGCATAGATTTTAAATTAAATGTTAATTGTATAAAATTTCAGATTCATTAATTTGCAAGGAATATTTGAAAATAAATCGAAAAATTAAATTCTAATGTTTTATTGCAAAATTATATAGCGATTTGCCCTTCGCATAGATTTTAAATTAAATGTTAATTGTATAAAATTTCAGATTCATTAATTTGCAAGGAATATTTGAAAATAAGTCGAAAAATTAAATTCTAATGTTTTATTGCAAAATTATATAGCGATTTGCCCTTCGCATAGATTTTTAACCCTTTGACAATTTTCCAACTGAAAATTCGCAAGCTTCCAAAATTTTCCGTGAGATTATAACGTGAGTCTGCTGTAGGTAATTAGGGTAATATTGCATAAAGAGCACTCTTTGACCATGTGAACTTAATTCTAGTAATTAAAAGATAAGAGCAATCAAGTCTAAGGAGTAAAAGATGGGGGTTGGGGAGAGGGTGTTGACCGAGTTACATTGTTAAGCACACTGTAATTACCTAAAATCTACCTCAAAGTTAAAAAGAAAAAGTGAAACTAATGAACAGGTGATCATAATTACACTCACACTAGTAAATGTTTCCAAGACTTTTGAGAGGGTAGTAAATGTTTTGCTGCTCAAAGGGTTACAAAGTGTCCGGATACTTTATCAACGATAGTGTACAGTGTACGATATGTAGAAATACGGGCACACCTGTGAAAAAAAAAAAAAGAGAGAGAGAGAGAGAGAGACTGAAATACCGCATGGCACTGTAGCATCGACCCATTGTGCGGCGCAGAGTGCACTCTCTGCTAAATCAGCCGCTCTTTTCTTCGCTTTTTGCTTCTCTCGACCTCACCTTCACGCTCCCTCTTTTTCCTCTCGTTTCTCTGCCTCCTTCTGTGTCTGTGTTCCTCTTCAATCTATCCTTTGGCACATAACCTTGGCTAAGACGGAACGTCGAGGCAAAACCGAGGTAACGAGATACCCAAAGAGACGTCTCTTTTACTTCTTTTTCCTGCCCTCGCGGCGGCCTCCTTCTTTCCCGCCTTTTCACCCCCTATCCCCTCCCGCCATCTTTCACTCCTCAGACCCGATTGCTCTCGTTTTAAGCGTAAGAGACGGTTTTCGCATGCCTCAGCAAACTCCTTTCGAACTTTTCCCTCGCTGAATGCCGGAGAAAAGTTTCTCTTCCCGGTCCGCGCGAGCCTCGTGTCGCCAATTTTTCCCTAACCAAACCCCATCCTCTCCATCGATTCTATAAAAATGGATATCTTCGGATTAAATCTATCCACGGTATGGAAATTCAATTCTATCCACCGTGTGTCTATTGTAATCCATCGAATTCATGAAAGTAGCTCGATGATACCAGGAAGGGTGCAGGATGGTATCTGAAATCATTTTGACAGACAGGCTAATATTTGATAAGCTAAAAGAGGAGAAAATTGTCAAATGATGTTTTATTGAAAATGTTCGCGACGGGGTTATAAATATTGAAAGTACAGGTCGTGTAACCCACAGATCAACGGAAATAAATGGAGAAGCAGAATCGAGGGCAAACGATCGGTCGACTGGACCGTAAGAAAAATTTATAGTTAGCTCGTGAAGGCGGGCGGACCAGTTAAAGGCGAGTAGTTTTCCATCGATGAGGAAAAGCTGATGAAAAATAGACGTCCCTTCGTTCCCCTCTTCTCCTTTATTTAAGCAATTCAGTAATCAAGTGGAAGCCACTGAAATAGAGTAGCAAAAGGTGTACAAACAAGCAATGAAGTGGAAGCTTGTTTCAATAACGTGCAAGCTTTACTCAGTACTCGAGGTAGAATCGAATCAACTACGAAGGTTGAACATCGTGACCATTTCGACAGTGTGTATAAGCCTGGTATCACGAGCTGAGAGAACTCGATTTTGCGGAAACGTGTCGTAGGACGAGCTAGTGTCTTCCAATCGAAGAGATTGCCTCTGGCTATATGTTCTGTTGAAAAATACCCGTGTCGTTACTAGAAAATCCGGATCCCGGTTACCCTGTTCGCGGATTTCCAACAGCCGGCCATTTTTCAATGACATAGCCCACGAATTGCCGCTGAAATTCTTCTCGTTAATCTTGCATGCAAATAGCGACACCTCTGTTAGACGCGACACAGGCGAAATAACGGCGAGACACTGTAATCACGGATATTAATCGAACGAAAATCTCCGTTTGATCTCAAGAAAATAGAAATAATTATCTTTGATATAAATAATTCACGCGTCACAGAAATAATACTTAAGTAAAAATTCTGTGATTTTAAAATGAATATCAGGCTAAAAGCTTTCGACGTTCGTATCTTAAACCGTTCCATCGAAATGGACGAGGAAAATGAAGCACCGGGCGAAAACGAGCGAAAATTCTGGAGACCTCTTTTTCAAATCCGGGGCCAAGGAAGCCTCGGATGAAATAGAACCGCGGAAAAAATAACAATGACAGTTTAAACGAGAGGTGTAGGAGTTGAGAGCGTCTGAGAAGGGGGTGGATTTAAGGTGACTGGACTGCTCCGCGATGGTTTCCTTTTAATCTTGGAAGGCGGTGCTCGGGTCAATTCTGATCCCCAGAGACAGAAATAAAATGTTCGTTATTAGAGATTTACGTGAAAGTTGAATACAGAGTCATTTTCACCCACAACAGAATTTAAATCATATTTTCATGTCGAGTGTAGTTGATTTTCGAAGGGCGGACCATGGAGAGAGTCCCAATTTTAATTTAATTTTCTTTTATTATCTCGAGAAATTATTCTTCCAATATTCATATATTTTTCTATATTAGTATCTACCCTAATATCACCCTTGTTTATTAAATAATAGAAAGTACTTGAAAAATTGCAGCTATGATTAGGATAGAATACTCGTTGTTCTCGTTACCAGAAAGAAATAAGGAGGAAATTGTTTCGGTTTCAAGAGCAATATCCTCTCGATGTTTGCCCGCATGCTGAAATATTCAACGGAGCTAAGTGTACAGTCGGAGGGCAAACTGTTTGAGGTAACTCGAACTGGATTGTTAACAGTACGTACACCCTAAAGCGTTTGTATTAACGAGCTATCCGTTGAAATTAAAGACCGCTGAGTAGAATGAAAGAAATAAAAGCAGATCTTCAAAAATGATTTAATTCTGAATTAAAAATCAACAGATGTTTCATTTGCCGCGGTATAAGTACCTCTCGTATTTCCTCCTTCTACGATTCTTCAACGCAGAACCATTATTTCCCTGAGAAACATTCTCAATCCCATTTCCTAATGGTCCATTTAAAGCAGCTTGATCATAAACGAGAGCATCGCGCTTCTCTTTGTATTGTTTTAGTTATATCCACTTCTGTACGTGTACTCGTTAAGTTTTATGATCGAAATAAGAGCCCCTCGTACACTGCCAGGTACACTAGCATCGACGATATTTCGAATGACGGATAAATTGGAACGATCAAAACGTACTCGGTGAAATAGTCGTGCTTTGATACACGCGACGTGCACTGCTTTATTTACCATTTCGTCCTAATATCGATTGCACATTCGCGCCTAGAACATGTTTGTTCGTCGTTGGTGAAATTTCTAGCACCACTCGAGCGAAGCAGAATTTTCCTGGGTCGATCAAATATCAATTCACTTTAACCCTTTCGTTACGGATCATCTCTTCCGGGAACTGTACCCGAACGTATTTACATTCCCGCGTTACCTTCAGTCTGCAAATTAAATAGGTAAACACTGAAGAGGTCTAATTTATTTTTAATTTTTATTATTTCAATTTGTGAAATAATAAGAAAATTATTAGCTGCTGTCCCACCACTTGCGGGTAAATCATGAAATTAGCACATGCACCCATTGACATTTACCGAATGAATGCATTTACCGTGACGGATCCATTTTACCGAACAGTCTCTTTTATATTTGATCGACCCTTTTACCATTCGCGTTGTTGGTGTAGCACGTTGAAAGCCGCGAGCTCATTCACGGACGCGACAAAAAGCGACGATTCTTCGACAAACTTGGCTTCATTTCGCTTTCCTGTGACCAGTCAACGAGCGAGGTTCAATATACTTACACATCTACTCTTCCTTCCGCGCCAAAACCTCTGACAACCCGTTACAATCTCGCGTTTCAAAATCATCGATAGAGTCCGTTCTATACCTCTAGCCAGCGTTTAAGATTAAAAAAAAAAAAAAAAAAAAATTACGGCTTGATATCGAATCGGAAGTACAAAGTAAGCTCGACCGCCGCAGCGCCCAGAACCACTAATGTGCTCGCTCGCAGCGCGGACGGCAACTTCGAGGTGACCTTGGCCACGAAGGCCACCATCTACCATCAAGGATTGGTCGAGTGGAAGCCGCCCGCCATTTATAAATCATCCTGCGAGATCGACGTGGAGTACTTCCCCTTCGACGAGCAGACCTGCGTCCTCAAGTTCGGTTCGTGGACCTATGACGGCTTCAAGGTAAACTTGCATGGTAGCCGCTAAGTTGCTGGGCAAAGATCTCTCTGATCCATTGATGATCGTCCGGGAGGTGATACGAGACTTATTCTCGTCCCATGTCCAGGACGATCCCATCATCACCAACACCACCACCGCCAAACCCCCCACCCCCACCCCCCCCCTTTTTAGTCCTTAAGGCACTAGACTAGCCTCTAACGATCGGCTCGTCGCGTGGATTTCCATAATCGCGGTTTATACATTATTATTCACGTTCATCCAGCTGAAGCAATCGTAAGCCACGCTAGGATGCTGCCATCACCTTTGTTCTTCGACGTTAGCTTCTTCGTTAATACGTTACGAAAATGGGAAGCTTTCTTCTGGCAACGGCAGCATCCGGTGGCTCGATCGTCGATGAGCCAATCGTGATCACGCTCGGCTCGTTTCTTCGGTGATTCCAGCGCCGACGGGAACTACGAGGTGACCCTGATGACCAAGGCCACCGTCTACTATTCGGGATTGGTCGTCTGGCAACCGCCGGCCGTATATAAATCCTCCTGCTCCATCGACGTTGAGTTCTTTCCGTACGACGTACAGACCTGTGTTTTGAAGTTAGGCTCCTGGACCTATGACGGTTTTAAGGTGCCAACGCCAAACAGCAACGAGCACGATCGCCAGAATTTCAACCTTTTTGCTCGTCGTATCGTTATATATAATCGGTCCTACACCAAATTTCTTTTTTCGTTTACATTAATTTTCCTAATCCTTGGTTGACAAGTTTCGTTTCTTTGTGTTCCATCAGAGAATGCCACCTTGATACCCGTTAATCGTTTCTGCGATGCGCTGGTCTTGGACGTCATACGTCATATTTATATACTATCTATATATTACATATATATATATATATATATATATTACGTATGTGTACATATGCAAGGGGAGTCACTGTAATTTGGTATTTTCTATAACTGCTTTTGTGTTGATATTATAAAGGAGTTTGTAAGGAAGGATATTATGTACATGGAAGAAGATTTTTTTTTATTTTTCTAAGGTTTTAAGTCATTCAAGGGTTCATAGGTGTCATACGTGGGCAGTTTTTGGGAAAAATTGTAAATTAAATTTGTTTAAAAGAGAAATTTCAAAATCCGGCTCTGTACGGCGATGTATGATTGTATATAGAATATTTGAAAAAAAGAATCATGAGAAAATATTGCTTCTTTGCTTCAGAATCTTTGAATTACGAAATCGCTGAAATTGTACCTTTATCGCTGTCTCTGTCTTTTCGTGTGGGAGGGACAAGGATCGACCGGAGTTTTAAAGTATTAAACGAAGGTTTGCTAATGAGTAGTACTTTATTAAATTAGAAATTGTTGAAAGGAAAATTTATTTCATATTTTTTATATTATTCGTTTTCCTATACCCTGTATAATATTTCTATAATATTTCTTTTCCTAATATCAACTTTGAGGCCGTTGTTCAAGGTACGAAATCATAGTGACTGATCCTGGGCGTACACATATATTTCAATATTGTTACTTGGTGTGGATTGCAGTGTTATTTGATTGACATTCGTCATGATGTCGTACGGTCAGCTCGTTTTTATATACGTATTATTATTCTGCGGTGTGCTCGAACGATTCTTACAGGTGCGCGTAATTGAATTCGCGATCTTTTCAAGACGTCTCGCGTCGTCGTTCTTGCGAGGATCTAGATCATTTCTTGATCATCGATCACCAGTGCTTAACAACACGTTGACTGCAACAGAGATCGCATAATTGAAAATTGAAAATTATTATTAAGAAATCACAAAAGTAAGAGAAATTTTTAAAAAATTGAAAATTAAAATTAAGAACTTATAAAATTTAGGGAAACTGCAAATTATGAAATTAATTTTTCATATCTTTAATGATATTGGATGCATAGCAGTCAATGTGGCAGCAATATAATCAATTTTTTTTTTTTTTTTTTTTAATTCTTCTCTGATCCTCGCTTCGACGAACGACTAGAAAGAGCGACACGTCGAAGGTTTCGAAAGGATACCTCGATCACGAGCTTCGAAGCGTATCCAAGCTGGTCGATCGTCTTGCTCTGTGAAATTTGCAGTTCGATGGAAACGTTAAACGTCCGATCCTGGGATCCGATTGTTTATTTATCATAGCTGTCATTCAATTTTGGACGACATTATACACGACACACGTAGGGAATAGTGGGTCATTTGCGGGCAGACTCTCTACATGATACATTTATCATCACACGTCTTTTATTAGATTGTTGCATATCAAATGATTCGTTTTAATTAGTAATTTGATGGCTTGAAAGATAATTGTATAATTATATTAACTTGATAATTTTAAATAATTTCAGATGCTAAATTTGGAATACATTTTGAAAAATCTATGAATAATTCGATATGTAAGTCTAATAATAACAGAACACACTTATACACTATTAATTCTTTAAAAAACACAGAAACAACATAATTCTTGTAATTTCATCGCTGATTTTTACCATTTTTAAAATGTACTTCCCAGGTACTTTTGAGCAATAATGTACTATTCTGAATTATTTAGAATGTCTTATTTTACTTCATTTTTGGAATTCTTTTTCCACAAAAAAAAGGGTATCAGTTATTTAAAATTTGTATCCTCTATTTGAGAGTTCAAAGTTTTTCCACATTATACCATCAGCCAGAAAGTTAACTTAATATCGCACAGGAAAATTTGTCAAGATGTTAATTAATGAACAAACATGGATATTTCAACAATTTTCGCTGTGAAATTCTATTGACCTTCTCTTCTCGTTCAAAGATACATGAAATTTCCATCAGGGTCAACAAGAAAAAGACAAAGAGAAACACAGATTCAATCGTTTTCTGTGAAAGAAACGCGAAAAGGAACGCTACGAAGTTCAATGTTCTTTTCATTCGTCGGCGAACACACACGTACACACGTATATTATACATATCTGTGCATACATAGCATGAAAATGGTCGAGCATGTTTCATGGAAGCATCGCTTATAAGCTGAGTGTGTAGCGAAACGAAGAATTGTATGTAAAAAAAATGAGGAAGGAAGATACAAGAGGGAAGGTCCCCATAAAAACTCGAGTCCCGAAAAAATGTCGAGCAAGCAGGAACGTGTGTCGTACCGTTCCGTTCTTTCGGTTTCGGTTTGTTTCCGAAACTTTATTGCCAACTAACGTCCTACAATTTCTGTCATAGTTTCCGCGGTCCTCGTAAAATCGTGGAAAATATGAGAATGCTTGATCGTAAATCCTTTTTTTTTTTGTCAGCCCAAATTCGAAAATATCGTCGGCTCGTAAAATAAAATGAAATGCAGATAATCCCTTGCCTCATGATTTTAAAAAATAAAAATATTATATGGTATATTTTTCTTAACTTTCTTGATAGGTTTCTGGCATTTATTTCAGTTATAAAAAAAAAAGAGAAACTATGAAAAATGTCCTTTTGACAATGAGCGCGGACCATGGAGAGAGAGATATTAATCATTTTAAAAATTTAAAAAGGGAAAGAATTATTCGTTTCAATATTTTTCGAAAAATTACAATAATTTCTCGGTATCATAAGGCAAGAGTTTAAGGATACTAATCTTCTAATCTGTTTTATTCCAAAAAATAGAGAATCCATTTATTACTCGAAAGCTAACCTAACCTGACCCAACTTAACCGTTATATTCTCCGCTCGTATGGCTCGATAAATTTATTAGATTGTGATTACGAAATGCTTGTTGAAATTCCATATTCGCGGTTCTATAATAAAATCCCGAGAATGCAGATGACGGCATTATTCTCCGAGTCGCGTGAGCATTCGTTGGGTTTTGGCTGGAAAATTCGATAAAAAATAAGGAGTTGCATGTAATTATGGTTTTGGGGAGGGAAATCGAAGGGATTGAAGCATGATATAGTATGTCAGAAAAGAAGAACGAAGTTAAAAATGATTTTGACAGGAATAATTTAGTATTGTTTGAATTGTATCTATGGTAGCATAGCAATTCGTGTATGTGTATTTTCATTGGTAGATATTGATGTTCTTAAGCGGGAGAGAAACGAAGGGTGCAAAAATTTATACAATTTCAAAAATTTGCTTTCAGTTCAATTTTAACTTTACTCTTCCTTAAAAATAAATTTCGATTCTCGTAAAAAAGTTTTCGCTTAAAGAATGTTTACCAGAATGTTAAAAGTCTATTAGATGTTAAATAGACTGTCTGGTGCTGAAAATGAAAAAGTACGAACACATTGGACCATGAAAACCGAGGAGTTCAAAGCGGCTAGCCTCTCTTTTAGGCGTGATTTCTCGCGACTCTCCCCTTTGCTGGCGCAATAAAGAGAAGATCGATATTCTGGACGGGAGTATAGCAAGGGAATCCTATGCACTTGTACATACAAGAGCGTATCTCTTCCAAACAGGCTGTCAGTCTCGTCGATGCTTGGATGTTTCAACCGTGCATGCAAAGACACGTGAATTCGGCTTTTGAACAGGGGTGGCAAGGCCATCAAGATCGTTTCAGACTTGGCCCGTCACTTCACGGTTAAAAGGTTTGACCACCTGTCACTGAAACACTTCTATTATAACGTAGACGTACCTTTCAACGTACACCGGTGACTGATCATCCGTATCAGCTTGTACAGGAGGACATGTGCAAGCAGTTGGATCGAACCCAGAAGGGAACGAGGAAGCTCGAAAGCAAAGACTGTTCGCCTGCAGTAACATTTCCACTACCCTTCTAAACAATGTAACACGCTTATAGGATTTAACGCAAAGTGCATAGCCGACGACGCGCCATGGCGATCCTATTACCCTAAGATCACTAGTCGCAGGCATAGTTACCTAAAGCAGATAGAGTGGCACGGTTGAGCGATTGGGATTTCTGTTGCAATCATGTACTCTATCGAATGATTAATTAGCACTATCTTATTCACTTATGTCTGTCGTATCAATTAACAAGGGGAACTACCCAAGTGTTACACTCACTTATTAATGAAACTTTGCCAGCTTGTAGAGCTCG